TTGTCTTGGTATCAGTGGAGAGACATTAGAGATCCAATCCGATTGTGAAGGGAGTTCCAAGATAGTTTTATTAGAACATTTCCAAACCAGTCGGGAATGAGACTTCTACAAGCAGTTCTTTATTCTAGTTCAGGAAGAAACAATGATGGATTATCAAGAAACATTTGAGTGCATTTATATCTGATTGGGGAGGCTATCTGAGATAGTGTTGGAGGGAAATTTCATGAAGATTCTCAAGTTAGAGATCATGGTCGTTGTCCGGTTATTGAGGGGTTGGGGGAGGCTATGGAGCTAGCCCAGTTGGTGGAGAACAAAAACTCACTTGAGAGAAGAAGCAAGGGCATCAATTTGGGAGCTTCGTATCGGACAACTACTTTTTTGGCACCAAGGGTACAACATGTGCCCATTCATAGAGAAGTACCCAAGGATAGGGGATTGGGAGCACAGCCCAGGGGAAATTTCAAGCTGCTAATTGAGGCAGAGGTTCAAGAGATGTGTGTTAAGGGGCTTTTTTTTTTTTTTGCGATGAGAAGTTTATACCGGGCCAGTGTACTACAAGGACCGTACGCTGCAGATACTTATAGTCTATGATGAGGAGGAGGTGAATGAGGAGGAGCATTTGCACCTATAGATGTGGCAGAGGTCTCCCTAAACTCAGTGGGGTTTACCTCAAATTACACCATGAAGGTGAGGGGACAGATAGGAGGAGCATCATTGTAGTTCTGGTGGATAGTGGGGTGACCCACAATTTCATCTCTAACCAGGTGATGGACTGGTTGGGGCTAAAGCTGGTCGACACTGGTTACTTTGGGGTGATGATGGGAATGGGCAAGGTGGAGAAGAGTAGAGACAGCTGCCCAAGGTCGATGGTGACATTGCAGGAGATCTATATGAGGGAGGATTTCCTTTCTTTGGAGTTGGAGAGCATAGATGTAATTTTGGGCATGAAGTGGTTGCAGCCCCTGGGGGAGACCAAGGTGAACCGGAAGGCATTGATAATGGAATTCATGGTGGGAGGGTGGAAGGTGAGGATCAAGGGGGATCCTAGTCTGTCCAAACCCAGGGTTTCTCTTAAAACTATGGTGAGGGCAATTCAGGATGGACTGAAAAAACTAAGTAAAGAGGATGTACAGAAGATGCCATCGGAGGTTCTAGGGTCGAAAATTGGAATCTAGATTCACTATATGAGGATTGATGTGAAACTCCTGTTTGCTGCAGAAAGAAAGACATGTGATCAAATTTTTAATGGTATCAATGTTCTTAAGGATCGATGCTTTGTTGAAGTAACATAGACTATGTGTTGATGCTTTTTAGTTTAAGGGATGTTATAGCCAAAAGCAAGGGGTCACCAGAGAGGTTGTTTGTGCTTCTAGACATGTATGAACAATGTGCGAGCTTCATCTGAGATTGAAACGATATTTGAAGGAAAAAATTGTTCTAAGACAAGGGATGTTGCTTATAATCTTTCAAGGTGTAGCCCAGACTGCTCAAGAAACTTCTGATGATTTCAAGGAAGCAGTGGAAGAAGATGTAACAAAAACTGGTGTGATGGATGGAACTCTGACTAGCTTTATGATTATGATGAGGACATCTAACCGTCCATGCCTATCCGAGGAGCTGAAGATCGACGGTCGTGATCATCCTACGTTATCTTAAGTTTTTATTTGTAATTTTTATTTTAATTATGGATTTTTTATTTTACCCTTACTTAAGAGTTTAATCTTATGTAAGCCCTAGGGCATGATTGTCTTATTTTAGTTTCTTTTATTTTTTATGCATATATATAGAGGCCCTTGCTAGTGTAATGGTATGATGGAGTTTTAATAAAATTTTATTCTACAGTTTTGTTCTTTGGGAGGACGTTAGTGAAAATCCCATGGAGGGAATTATGGTTTCCACTAGCCACAGGATGGGTCCGAGCTCATGGTTTGAAGCCCCTTGGTGAAGGGCATCATATCACCCGTCAGTCTTCGAAAGAGTCCAAGGCTCGCGGTTCTATCTTTTTTTTTTTATTTGTTTGGTTTTTCCTTATTTCCCTAAACCGCCACCTCCTCAAGCCCTCCACCAAGGCACGATCCTCTCACCTCATCACCTCCACACCATCAGCCTACACCAGCCCCTTTCTTCCTCCTCCCTCCCCTTGGCCAAAATCTACCAAGGCTCCACCCACCCGCAAGCCACCTCCTTCCCTAACCCCACTTCCCTCCAAAAATCCCTCTTTCCTTATTTATGTTGTCATTAATTTGGAAAGATTTTAAATTCAAATTAATCTAATTTGAATTTTAAATCCATCCTCATTAATTACATTAATTTTGGAAACTTCTTTCATTCGATTAATTAATCAATTCTGAAATTGATTGGTTAATTAATCCCTAGCACAAATACATTGAACCTAGACACCCCTATTGCCCCCTCCCTCTTTCTCCCTCCATTCAATTAATTTCCTTCCCCTTATTGCTCCCCAATAAACTCCCATCTCTTAATTTTAAATTTTAAATTTTGAAAGGTTTTTAATCACTTTCTTAATTTAAGATTCTAATTAAAAAATCATTCAATTACCCCATTACCATCTTCTTAATTTAGCCCTATCTTATTTTGAAAAATTCGTAATTCAAATTCAATTAAAATTTTTCCTAAATATCCTACACCTATTTTAGGAAATTCCCCTCAATTAGTGCAAATCTGAATTAAATAATTATATTTGATTTAATTTACTCTATTCAATGTATGTGGACACATACATTGAATGTGGACAATTCTTCATCTCCCCTCTCTTTGACCAGCCCCCATCCATCCCTTATCCAATAAATTAGGAATTTTTAAAAATTCAAATGAACCCCTCCATCGTTCTACATCAGATTAACTATGTGAAATTTTTATTTGATTATCAAACAACTTGGAATGAGTTTTTTCAGGAGTTCGAAAAGGTGGGAGAAGATTAACTTTCCAACTTGCAAATGTTACAATGTGAATTATGCAAGCTCTTCAAAGTAAACTGGACAGTAAATCAAAGCAATATAAAGATCATATGTAGACTTATCTATTCATTATGAATAACATCCACTACATGGTTAGATCCATTTGAAGATCTACGGTTTCTTTTTGTTCAAGGCCAAAGTTCTTATGGTGGTGGTTTTCCTGGGGGAAGTGATGGGGACAACAGTAGCAAAGTTTCAAGGGCAACTATAAAGGAGAAGTTAAATCCTTTCAACATGCAGTTCAAGGTGGGTGATAAAGAATATTTGAAGATTCAACCCTACAGACAGAAGACCCTATCTTGAAGAAGAAATGAAAAGTTATTTTCGCATAATTATAGGCTTATGAGTGTAGAGGATTGGTATCGTGACAAATCGTTAGCAGCTACCCCCTACTTCCACGATACACCCGGTGTTTCATGTGTCCCAGCTAAGGAAAGTCATTGGCGACCACAATCCATTAGCAATGCCATCAATAACCTTGATAGAAAAAATGGAGGTAATCCTGGAGCCAAGAGAAATGAAAGGAGTACGTTCAACAACAGGAGGAGCTAGAGAAGTGTTAATCGATTGGAAGGATTTGTCCGACTATAAAACAACATGGAAACCGTACTGCATGATTCAACAACAATTTTCTTTGTTCCACCTTGAGGACAAGGTGATTCTTTGGGAGGGGAGTAATGATAGACCGATGGAGCCTATGGGCCCCACTAGTAGGGACGGCAGACAAGGAAAGAGGGGGATCCAAAGGGGAAAAAATCCACCTTTAATTACTTACCATAGGAAACTAAAATTGGGAGGGAATTAATAAAATTTATTTAGAGAAAGGGGGCTGATTTGAATTCAGATTTGGGAGGGAATTAGGAAAAATTTATTCAAGAATAACATTAACCTACGAAACACAAGAACTAGTAATAAAGTACAACTAATGACACAATATGACATGCATGGTACATTACTAATACATGAAGAAATAGAACAAACTATCCAATTAACACAATAAATTTGATTATTACAACACAATAAATTCGATTATTACACTCATATTCGGAATGCATAGAAATTTGGGTGACAACTCACAACATCCTCAATCCAATTTTTAAGAAATTAGTCATCCCATGTCATAAAGATAGTTTTGTTGCCCTTGTTTTCTTTGACAGCATCCTGGACTGCAAGGATTGCTTGAGTAGTCATGTTTTCAATGTTGTCTAATTTAACCAAACATTCTGTCATGGTATATGGATAACTTCAGTCAACTGTTTGTCTGTTTCCTTAAACATAATCGCATTCTTATTAACTCGACAAATAGCTTGTTCATGTATCTTTGACTCTTTTCTTCTTTGTGCGCCTCACGGTTAGTACGGGTTCTTCATTAGACCTTTTGCGGCGTTCGGTGCCAAGGGCGAACCCTATCGTTGTAGATAAAAGGATTTCAAGAACTCTATGTGTTACATCACTATGACAAGGATGCCGTGGGAGAACTATTCTCAAATCTGTAAATCCCATTAAATCTTCCGAACAATGGGATTTAATAAATCCGGGATTCATGGCAAAAAAAAAAAAAAACGATAAATACGGATTTACCAAGGATGCCGATTTACAGCGCCCTTTTTTTTCAGTTGGCAGGATTTAGCGTAAATCCTGCTTAAAAGCCGCAACCAAACAAGCCCCTAAATCTTTCATTTATTTACTACCCTTATAAATTGTAGCATGTATCCATTGCTGAATATACAATGAAACAAAAATAAGACTTCCTACCTTCCCTTCTCCGCGTCCTTTCTCTTCAGAAAATAGAGGGAAAAACATCTCCAGGACTTCATCAGATGGCAAGGTCAAAAGGAATGCTGCAGGGGCTTTGGCTTGTAACAAAACTATCCATTTTCCTCGGTAGAAATTCACAGATAGGAACCGACAGAAAATTAGCAGCAAGGAGTACTAACGGAACGGGGCAAGAATCATCAATACCCAGAGAAAGATAACTAGATAAGAGAAAGAAAAGTGAGAGCATAAGAATTCCCAGGTCACCTTTCTCGTCTCCGCTTCCCCGCCGCAATCCCGACGCCAAGCGAACTACGAAATCCACCAAGAAATGACGCTTCTACTTAGGATCATCGACCCGATCCCCGCCCTTCCGCATTTCTGAGATCTGATACAAGCTGCGTCCAGATCGTTGGTTATCGCATCCAACTCCAACACTCCATGATTTGGACTACTGATCTCGTTGGTGCAGCTTTAGACCGATTAGAACCCGCTGATTAAGCCAACTATTTATAAAAATAGGTTTGGTGTTCGTTGAGTTGTCGGAATAGTAAATATCATAGTACTAAACTAACTAGCCTGACCCACTCATATTGGGTCAGTTTTTTTTTGTCAGTTGGTTGGGAGTTTTTAATATTAATTAAAATGTGTTGAATTCGAGTCTTACGTAAATGATATGTGTATTAATTTGTCTTAATTGACCTAAACGCACCCCAAAAAAATAGCTAACTTGTAGTACACAATAAATGTTAGCTAGTAATTCCTAGTAGTATAGCAATGATCAAATTTCTACAATGTGGTAAATTAGGCCAAATATAACTCACTTGATAGTGATCGACTAGTTTTTTGCGAAGAAACCCTTGAAGTTTTCAGTTATGGTGTCAATTTCGGGTCATGGGTCGGGTTCGGGTCGAACCCGAAACTGACCCGGCACTATTCCGGGTCATTTTGGGCCATTCCCAAATTCTCGGGTCAACCCGAACCCGACCCGGCTTTATAAATGGGTCAGCTTTCCAGACCCGAACCCGACCCGCTTCGAGTTTGGGCTAACCCAAATCCAAAATTTTCGGGACGGGTCCAATATTGACAGATCTATTTTCAGTGGAGGTGAATACCTGAATGGGGTGTAAACTAAGTAGTTATTAATGAGGCCAAATAGGTTTGTGAACTCCTAAACTCTACCCACCGAGGTTTAGGGTGATTGGTGGGCGAGCACGATTGGGAACCCTCCATTTCGGATTCGAATCCCCTCAACTACAACCTCACCTTTTCAGTGGGTCAAAACAAATGTGGGTCTGATGCCGATGGTTGGCCTCGTTAGGTTCCACCAAGAGATTAGTTACACTGCAAATTGCTTCCTTTGGAGTGACAGCTGATGGATACCCCGTTCCCAAAAAAAAACTCCTAAGCTCTTTTTTTTTTTTACATTTGAGCAATTAAGACAAATTCATACACATATCATATGCAAGTTTTGAACTAAAATCCTCTTAATTTATTATCAAAGCTCATAACCAAGAGATCAAAATAGGCTGCATTCAGCTCCTAAACTCGCTTAACAGTTAACAGGGAAGAGCACTGGACAACTTTAGTAGATAAATTTTGTCAAACTCATAAGCTCTCCACTAAACCCGAATTTAATCATAATAGCGCTTCAAAAGCAAATTAATTTTGCTCACTCGCATCAAATTTCAAATAAGCAGCATGCAATTATCAGTTAGTATATTTTAACCCGATTCGAACTTTCGAACATCTTTTTTTTTTTTAATAGAAATAATGGATATATTTATCCAATTAAGTCAAAATTTCAATCAAGTAAAAAAAATGAATCAATTATATAACTTCGAACGGACCAAAGGAAAAAATATATATTTTTATTGTATTAGCTTCCTAGAATTTAAAACATGCATGGTTCAGACATTGTATTATATGTTTATTAATTTAATAGTAAGATAAATGAGTATATATATATATATAGCAATTTATTTAAGAGATATGCTTACGTTTAATAAGACTAACAGTTCTTTTCAAACAATTTTCTTACTATTTTATTTTTTAGATCATAATTATAAATTTTATTTGGCCACTAATTTTTTATTGCTTTCAAAATATTTTGGTGTTAGAAAGACATCTTCTATAATAATTTTAAATTTTTATTTTCTCTATAATGACTTTTATAAAATAGTAAAATATTTTTTTAATTTCAAAAAATTTTTGTACTAAGGCTTCGCTTGAGATGGCTTTCTTATTGCTTCTTAAAACAACTTTCTAGTATAAAAATTTTACTTTTTTACTTAAAAACTACTTTAAGAAGCAGTAAAAAAATTTTCTCAAACAAAACCTAAAAAACTGATTTGAAAGTAGTAAGAAAACTTTCCCAAGTAAGTTTCAGAGTTCGGCAACATCTTTGCCTTGCACAGCGTATGATAAACAGTCAAAACAGAGCCAAAGAACGCACAGACAAAATAAAATGATGATAATACCAAATTAGCATGTCCCTTGGATTTTTATTACCTTATAAACTCTCTTGCCTGATAAATATGGGAAGATTCACCCTTACTGACCCATCAAATCTACTCAAAGGACTTTAGAAATGGAACAAAGCAGTCGCAAATAAATAACAAAATCAAATGTAAAGACTAGTTTTAGTTCAACTCCTGCAACTGCAACTCATCTTGGAACAATCTACTCTGCCCTGGTGTAATATCTGACTGCAAATGCGACGCCAAGTATCATGACAGGTACCAGAAACTGTAATATCTTGATTGTGAAGTCCGAGGTTTTGTCTGGATTGTATGGTGTCTGCTCGGGCGGGATGAAAACCCGGTTAACCGGAATCGTCGATGCGTCGATCTTTCCAATGCAATATTTATCCATCAACTCCCTTGCTTGGTTACTGTGACCTATATCTTCAAAATCATTGGTTGCATCTTTCTCTGCAAAAGAATGCGTTCAATGATTTCATATTCAACATCGTCCTATGGACAATAACATCATATAAAGAATACAGACATTGGAAAAGTGCAAATTAGTTGCACCATCTCACTATTAGTGAGCTTTGTCAAGTATCTTTGATTTCTATATTTTGAATATTTCAACAAGTGTAAGAAGATGCATAGGTCTATGTAAAGATACCACTCGGCATATGATATGTTGCATAACATAGAAGTAAGCTGAGGCATGACCTTATGTAGTTGACTAGATTGAATATATGATACATGGTGGCAAAATTAAGGACCCAGATCTTATAATCCCGAGTAGGTGAAATTATTATGCGCGGTCACCGGACGCCGTTCGGAAGCGAATCAGGACGTGCCACGTCACTTTTTAGCTATGTACCAATGTTTTGTACCGTTGTGTATTGGGTGATGTGGCACATCATAATTTGCCTTCGGACCGTCCAGTGACCGCACGAAATAATTTCCTCCACGAGTAGCCTTCTTCTATCTTTCATCATTTATGTTGCCATCAGATACCATTACTCTCATCAAAGAAATTGTATTCATCCGATGATAATTTCTTCTCTAATTGTGAAGCATGTTCTACCAATTCGGTTTTTTTTTTTTTTTTCATTTAAAACTGTTCCCTTTTCCATCACCTTTGTGCACTTTTTAAAATTTTGTCTCATCATGTAGTGTGGATTAGTGGCACACAAAGTGGCAACAATAGGTGATCTGGATCTAACATTAAATACAGGGGAAAAGTTTAACCAATTAATTTCTTGGTTGTTCATCAATAGTAGATCTATAGTTGGATTGGAATTTAGTTAGCTCCTATAAATATGCCAGGATGTTGGATATGCTTCATTATATGAATATAAGAGACATGAAAGATACATGCAAAGTTTTAGTCAGTTATACCATCGTATAGAAAACTGTTTAGAAGAACAATGATGCAAATTATGAATGAAAATATTCAAGTGAATGGATAAAATTAGGTTCAAGGCATAAATGCTCCATAAAATAAGCAAATTTAACAGGGCTCTTACTTGTTGCTGCTAAAAGGACTTCATCACCGCCAGGGTGCTCATCCATGAATGGAGTCACATCATAAACCTGAAGAGATTTTTTTTTTCACTTAAAATTGTTCCCTTTTCCATCACCTTTGTGCACTTCTTAAAATTTTGTCTCATCATGTAGTGTGGATTAGTGGCATACAAAGTGGCAACAATAGGTGATCTAGATATAACATTAAATACAAGGGAAAAGTTTAACCAATTAATTTCTTAGTTGTTCATCAATAGTAGATTCATAGTTGGATTGGATTTTAGTTAGCTCCTATAAATATGCCAGGATGTTGGATATGCTTCATTATATGAATATAAGAGACATGAAAGTTACATGCAAAGTTTTAGTCAGTTATACCATCGTATAGAAAACTGTTTAGAAGAATAATTATGCAAATTATGAATGAAAATATTCAAGTGAATGGATAAAATTAGGCTCAAGGCAGGCATAAATGCTCCATAAAATAAGCAAATTTAACAGGGCTCTTACTTGTTGCTGCTAAAAGGACTTCATCACCGCCAGGGTGCTCATCCATGAATGGAGTCACATCATAAACCTGAAGAGAGAAATAAGAAACCCAAAAAGAAGAGGAAAATTTAGTATTTCTATATGCGTTCCTGATCAGTTTGGGTATAAGAATAAGAAGTGATCATTTTTCTGTTCGGGAGCAGTGAAGCTTAGGGTGTCAGAACAATCATCCAAGACTTTGAACTAACAGTAGGTAAGTTATGACTACTAATGCACACGCATCAGATGCACCTAGCATCCTCTTTCTTATGTTCTAATATTCTCTCATGTCCACTTGAATTTGCAATGTACAAAGAAAAAATAAGAAACTAAGATCCCTCAAAAACAAATACACAAAAGACATGCACATTAACCCTCTTGTCTTCTTCCTTCCAAGATAAGAAAGAGGATGCAGGTTTGCTTAACCTCAACCACATAAATCTCAGTATCTTTTTTGGAGCTTGATTTTTTTGTGTTTGCTTTCTAGTTCATCATATTCTCACTTGAGTTATCACTTTCATATAAGAGTTATATGTTTTTTCTAACAAATGGTATCAAAGTGGTGTTATAAGGATTATCATGAAATTTGAGATTGAGAAATTTGAAAGCTAAAAAATAATTTTGGGCTTTAGAGAAAGAAGATATGTAATATTCTAGTTTAACAAGGACTTGTGAAGGCACTCATAGGGCATATAAGTATGCTTGAGACATTGAGTGAAAAAAGAAAAGCAAAAATGGATTAAAAGGCTATCTTGATTATCCAATTATGTTTAGCAGATGAGGTCTTGATGGAGGTCCTAGAGGAAACAATGGTTAAGGGTTCGTGTTTTGACTCCTTGTTTGACCACAAGCCTCCATAACAAACTTTATCAAAAGTAGAGATTGTATTTACTTTTTTAACAAAAAGATATGCCCATTAAATCACATCTAAATAAGTTTAATTTCATTGATCAATATTTGAGGAAAATTAAAGTGATTGTTAATGACGAAGATCATGATTTGTTACTTTTGTACTTATTATGTTCCTTTTATCAGCATTTTTCATGACATCATGTGAATATATATGTCAATGGTGCAAAATGACGCGCACCATAGCACACAGCGCAGTGCATCAAAATAGCTAGCACTAGTTGCGCCATACATGGGCAATGGCACATGGCGCAAGACGCAAATGGTGTGCGCTATTTTATTAATATGGTATAAATTTTAAATTATAAATTATAATTAATTGTTTAAAAGTTTATATATTAATATCACAATTAATTATTAAGTAATTAAACATCAAATTAATAAAATATCAAAAAAAAATAAAGGATTTTAAAAATTTTGTAGGATTTAAAGCTGTCATTTTTTGTTATTTGGCACTAAAAAAGAGATATAAAGAGTGGTTGATTCAGTTTACTTACATCATTATCATAATAAAGAGTTATTTTTCACTTATGAGCCATGTGGTGGTCATGACTACATGAAAAATAATATGGCATGTGAGAGTAATGGATTTGGCAGAATGAAGTTGAAATTATGATAGTGTGACTAGTTGACAAAAGTCAAATATGTACTAAATCCAAAGAACAATCTTATATCTTTGAGTGCTTTTATTGATGCAGGATAAAAGTCTCTAGAGATATTGAGGACTTTAAGCTTTGTAAAGGTATTTTGGTTTTCATGAAAGCAAAAGGAATTGGCAGACTCTGTGTTGCGGTGCAACTTCAAGTAATACTACTCAATTTTTCATCGGCTTTGGTAGAACACAGTGATTTGGAGAAGCACGAAAATGTCGACTTCCCAGCTACAAAAGATTCTACATTATAAGGAGGCACAAGCTAAAGAGCTTTTGGAGATGCTTTGGTAGATCTATCTAATGTTATGCAATTTGTTCTAGGGTCAGGTTGCTATTGAGGCATTTAGAGCAAGAATACATCCACTTTGAGCACAAAAAAATTTAGTGGTTGGTTAACTTTGAACTCCAGTGAATCCACTTGTGTGCAACAAATGTGCTTAGGTCTCTTGCAATTATTAAGATAAGATGTCATTTAGATCTCGTTTGTTTCGGCATTTTTTTTTTCTTTTCTTTTCTTTTCTATTTAAAAACAGAGAAATTCTTTTTTTTTATTACTGTTTGGATGGGACGCTTCTATAGAAATGCTTTTTAGGGAACTTCAGTTTTCTACTATTTTGAGAAGCTTTTTGATATTTGATTCTCCATTAGAAAACTACATTCCCTTAATCATTGTTTCTAAAATTAGCTTTTACAAAAGAGAGGAAGAACCAAACAAAGCCTTAGACTTTTTGAGATAGTATGATGTTTATCCCTTTGGCCTTTACAAGCTTAAACTATTTTTTTAGGGTTTCGCACAGAGTTGGTTCATTTATGACTACACATCAGTAATCTAATTTTTAAATGGAAGATCATTTAGTATTTGGAGGTTATCCACTTTCTTCTCTAAAACTCTAGATCTTTTTCTCCTGCAATTTGAGTTTTAAAATCAGATTCAAAAAGATTTATTTAACCACAATTATATATCAAATTCCAACAACTTGGATAAAATCTATCTGCTTTGCAACACTATCTCCTAAAAAGTTATTGAGAACTTGTTACTATCTATTCATCAACTCAATTTAGCCCCCCTTAAATTTGTTGCTAAAGGATTAAAAAAAGAATAAGGGAAATAAACTATTTATTATATTCTCCCTTTGCTCTCAAATTATTTATCAACAATCAATGAAATTAGCTAGTGGCTGCCGTGCTCCCTTCAAATGAAGAAGATTAGTGGCTAATCTTGCAATAAGGAGGCAATAGATGATCTTAAGAGAAGGTCTAGCAGTAGTTGGCGTTGTTCAACTATAGTCAACTAGAGGACTTTGCCTGAGCGACATGTGAGTTGAGGGTCAGAGAAGAAAACATAGAGCTTGAAAGGGAGGCTGTGATTTGATGTTTTGTTTGAAATTCATAAAGTAATAGATAAGAAGTAGATGGAAAGACGAAATTATATAAGGCATTAAGTTTTTCTCACATGTTGGGCTATTATTTTGATTTGGTTCTCTAGTTATTTTAGAGAGGAAAAAAGAAGAGGTGAAGAAATCTTGAGAGTAATCATTTTGTATTTGATTTTTGGATTTACTAAAAATTACGGGCACTCAATATGGTCGCGGACATAATCTTGCTCAAGTCGAAGCACTTAAATTTTGTTGCCTCTTTTAAGTGGTTCATTATTTGCACTCTCAGGTTATGGCATACGCATAAAAGTTTCATTTTTTCCCAAACAACAATCACTCAAAAAATATATCATCTGCATTTGATTATATATCATCTGCATTTGATTGTTGCAGTGATCTCCACATTAGAGAAAGGAAAACCAATCCATTCTTATCTTACTTTTTCAAGACAAATACATGTTATAATGGCACATCAAGAGTTCTATTTTTTTAACTATTTGATAAATAGAATGATTTTCAAGACAACTTTGACAGTGAAGCTACATGTTGGAAAAGCAACATCTTGAACAAAATAGTTACAAAAGCACTAGATCATTATTGAATTTGTGAGCCCAATTAGATATTTGATATTTCCTACAATAAATAGTTGCAACAAAAAAAATAAAGCCCAAACAATGGTAAAGGGACAATCCACCATTTAGTCTACAAAACAATGATTACACGTCAACATCTTGTAACTTTAACTAGTAGAGACGATTGTTAAGCTCACTAGAGGGGAACTTGTAATGTAATTATGATTATGGCTTGAAATAACTTGGAATCGGAACAAAAACTCTAGCCTTACTGATTCAACAGTGTAGTCAAACAAAACATCGCTTGAGATTAAGATGATTGTCGGCGTCAAAGCCATTAACTTTTACAAGTGCCAAACTTTTGCATGTGTATTTGCAAGGTTAATATTGATTTAACTTGTACAAGTGCCAAACTTTTGTACACTTGAGAGAAAATTAAACCCCGCCATAGCTTTAATAACGCATGCCAACACAGAATTAAATATTCGTTAAGGACATCAAATCCTGATAACTATTTGCTAGAACAATGTTTATAATGCAGAATTTTGGTATTTCTTGGGTTGAATAATGCTAACAATGCTGAGCTTTGATAATCCTTGATAGAAAAAAGTTAAAAAGGTTTAATTCCAATATTTTTTTATAAAATAATGTTGATAATGTCAAAATTTACCTAGTTCTTCAATTAAATAATGCTAACAATGTTGGATTTGAACTCTTGTAGTCCACATTTTGAATTGCTATGAAGATATCAACAACAGGATAACTGAACTACATTATAGGGTGTTGAGGCTTAGGTTGCCTCAAAGTTATGGTCAGCATGATAATCATGTTTTTTGAAACAGATGTGATTAACATAGTTGTCACAAAGAAAGTGATTGTCATGATGGCCCATGTACGACTGACATTAACAAGGCTTATCGACATGCTTTTATCAATCAAAAAATAGCTTCAACCTTTACAAGACATGATATGACAAGATGTAGATTTGATGTAATCCAACCGAAATAGGAAAATACTAGGTCAAACCACCTTGTGTTTGAACACAAGTAATAGCTCCTGCATACATATCTTTAATGATTTGAATATAAGCGTTATTAACTCCTTTCTTTTCAATAACTCTCCATAGCACTTATCTTGGAACTTTATCATATGTTTTCTCTAAATCAATAAATATCATATGCGGATCCTCCTTATTCTCACTATATTTCTCCATCAAACCTCTCAATAAATGTATGGGTTCCATAGTAGACCTACCCGGCATGAATCGAAATTGATTTTGAGAAACATTAGTATCACGCCGCAACCTTCGCTCCATAACAACCTTAGAGAGGAAGAAATATTGATAATGAATTATGAACACGGCTCATCAAATATGCAGATGCTACTAGTAGAAAGAAGAGAATCAATGGCGTCTCAAGTCTTCAAGTGTCATCGTCTCAAGTCTTCAGGTGTCATCAAGAAGACTTGACAAGAAACAACATTGAGGTGGTGATCAAAAGCACAATGATATAGTAACACTATGTGCTTGATGGGAACAATA